GGACAAAACATTTTGAAAAAGAATTGAAAGTCATAATAGCAATTTGTAGCTCTATGAAATTACAGATTTATTATTTTAAAATTTAATCAAATTTATATCTATATGTACATGAAGAATTAATAAAATTTAACTCAAAAAAATGAAAAAAATTTATATTAATATAACATAATATAATGTCAAAATTAAAATTTATATTTTCTCTTACTTGTATCGATTTCTCCACTCAACAAGCTTCATTCAAATCTATAGAAACTATGTATCCACGCTTCCGGGTTATACAAATACTAATTATTTACAATTCACTTCAAGTCATTGTCTATAAGATAACCAAAAAAATATTAACACAAATGTAACAAAAAAAACATTTTTAAATATACATTTAAATATTCATTCTCTTTCTTTCTCTTTCTCTTCTCGAACAAACTGTGAACGCGACGAAAAAATGCATGAAAATCAAGAAAAATCCTAACCCCTAATTATTAAACCAATTATGTATAAGGTCGAACTAACAATAAGAAGAGTCTCGATGGATCCTTGTAACCAGGGTGGGATGAGTCTACAAGTTGGTGGGGACTATTTCTATATAATCGACAGTGAAGGTGCCTGTCTCTTCATAATCCTATCAGTGAGCACGTTTCTTTAACCGTCGATCTCTTCGTCCGTCCCATTTTAATCTGAAAAAAAATCGCAAAAAGAAAGACAAGTGAGACAAGGTGAGTGTTTTAAAAAAGAACAAAAGAAGTATTTATAATGTGTGTGGCTTATATCTATTATTCTATTTTGAAAATTCTCACGATCATAAAATCATCTACGGAATACTGATCGCACCAGTGTTAAACAAGAGGGGAAAAAGAAAGATAGAGCAAGTGCAACAAACTGAATACATATATCTATATGTATATCATGAGGAGTATTGCAAATATAAATGCTGCAGGTTCCTGCGTGACGAATAATAAAGATATATTAAGTCAATGAAGAATTGTTTGAAGAATAGAACTATAAATAGTTCTCTCTTATAAGAGTTTGTTTTGCGTTTTGGAAATTATTTAAAATGTTTTCAAAGAAAATAATATTTTTATATATACAAATAATAAGTATTATATATTTAAAGTTTTTAAAGTAAAGTAAAGATATATACAATAATATTTAGAGATGTTTAACACTAAAATTCCTAAAAATGATTTCATATTTTTATGATTATTGAGAAATATATGATATGAAGATATCAGATATATAATATGATATTGAGAAATATATAATATGAAAATTTTTTTCATAAAATTAATATTGTAATTTATTATAGAAATTTATGTACATATATCTACTTACTTTATATAACATACTTTATATAACATCACTTTAATTATAATTATTTACATATAAAATAGATATTTAAATTATATTACAGATTATTAGGTATTACAGTTATTTTAATTAAAAGTTTTTATTTTTCTGTTTTCCACTTCAACTATATAAATATTTAATTTGTCATTAAACATTAACAAATTGTTCTTAGCATAAAATATTTAATATTGAAAGAATAAGAATATTGAGAATATTTGAGAATAACATTTAAAAAAATAAAATTTTGTCAATAAATGAAAATTTTATTTTGTATTGAAATTATATATATATTTTTGTTAAAATTTATATAAATTTAAATAAATTTTTTATAAATTTTTTATAAATTTATATAAATAAAATTATATAATAATATATTATAATAACGAAAGATAATTAAATAATTATGATAAAAAACAAAAACAAAAATAATTAAATTTAAAAAATTCTTAATAAATTTTAATTAGAAAAAATATATATATTATATATATTTTTTATATATATTATATATATAATTATTTTACAATATCTATAATATAAATAAATATAAAAAATAATTTATTTTTATTAAAATTAAAATTATTAAGATTAATTTTTTATAGAAAATAATAATTAATATAAATATTAAATTTTTAGTATTTTTGAATAAAATATTATAAACTATTTTCTCTGCAATCAATGTAGATATAAACTTGAAACTTTTACATTTAATAGTCTAAAGAGATTAACATTATAACAAATTTTAAATGAATAGAATGATTTTTTTATGTGTGAAAAAAATGAAAATGCTATATTAATTTTTATGAAATATCTGAAATTGAATTTAATATCATTTACTTTAAATTTTTTTTCTATTCCATATAATTGAAAAATTATAATCTAGAATATTCTGTATAAAAAGTTGCATATCATCAGTGATATAAATTTTTTTCTATATTCTCTTATATATCCTGTGATTTAAAAAAAAATTTTCTGCATTTTATATAGAATATTCTATCTATAAAAAAACCAATTCTTGTGTTTTCTAATTTTATAGTATTTTTATAATTTTTTTCGATTTGTAAAAAAATTGTTGCAAATATATTATTAATAAAATACTAAATCAACTTTAAATTCAGTAATAACATCATTTTTTTTTAAATCAACTTAAATGAAATTTCTTTCTCTTTTTTTTTATTATATTTTATAATTTAAAAAAATATATATAAAAATTGCTTTAAATCTAAATATCAAATTAATTAAACCTAAAATATTTACGCTAAATAAATATATATTATTTATTAGTAAATTTGCATTGTATTATATATTTTGTTAAAAAAAAATAATAAATTAAGAACGTTTTGTAAATAAAAAATAAGAATATTCTGTAAGTAAAAAATAAGAACATTCTGAAAATATCTTCATAGAATGTAATTCTTTATTTTTTCCAAATAATTTTTCACAAGGCAAAATATAAAAAACATTTTCACATTAAAATTACAATATTATTTTTCATCAATTTTATATTAATTATGCAATTTTTTATCCCTTATTACGCAAGAGAATTCTTACTTTACATGTTATTTCATTTTTCTTCGAGGAAGCAAAGAAATAACTCTCGATGTCTCGATAATCGTTTATTTGACCGTATAAGGGAACGTTCGATAGTTAGCCAGATTCACAACGAAAAAAATTCCTATCGATTATCAAATCACTACGTGATATAATATATAGCAGTAAACTGGAAGTAATGCTCTAATATATTACATATTATATATTATATATAATATATTATATATTATAAGTAAAAAATCGACGTTTATCTTTTAACGAAATTGGCATTCCTTAAGTGAAACTTTTATTGATTTAACTAAATATATATACAGAGTTACAATCTTATCTTACGTGCCAGTTTTAAGCAGCAAAACTTTTATAAGTTTTTGATCATCATATGAATGCCAGTTACAGACATATACCAGCGATATGAGCTGTTTTAAAATTAAAATTAATGTCCTTCAATAGTCTAGGATTTTATTAACGATTTGAATCTTGAAAGATTGTGCGATAGATCATTTTGTGATTTATAAAGATTTTTTTTCTGTTGAAAAAATTATGTTATAAAGTTTTGATTTATAAATTGGAATAAATTTGCATTAATAACATTGCTTTAATAAAGATGCATTTGTAAACATACATATAATTTTTTAAATTGTTTAATTATGATTTTTTAAATTATTTTATTGATTTGTGATTAATTGTAATTATTTGAACTATTTATATTATTTAAACTAATTGTAATTTTTGGTTGAATAAAAATTTTCTTTTTTAATTTTTTATTATTTAGATAAATGTTATCGTATTTAACAAATATTTTTTTATTTTAATAATTAAAAATTATAACTATAATGATAAATCTTATTTATATAATTAAATAAGTTTTATATTATTCATTTAAGGTTTTTTTAATATTCAATTATTTTATTATTTATATTTATTATATTATTTATAAATAATATAAAATCTATTAAATTGCATCTATTTAATTCAATTATAAATATTCAATTCGTGTATAGTATGTATTATATAATAAAGAATCTATGGAAACATGATTTAAAATTTTATTAAAAATAAAAAATAAAATTATAAAATTTATTTATATTCTAAATAAAAAATTTTTAAATAAAAATTTTTCCAATAATGAAAATCAATAATAAAAAATCTTTAATCTTATTTTAAAATTTATTTTTTTAAAAATTTCCATATTCCATGCATCAAACCAAAATTATTGTTTCTGAATTAAATATTAATTATTTCTAAAATAAAATATTAATATTTATTTCAATTATAATTTTTTTAACTGCTAATAATTTAAATAAAAAATATTAATTTATTTACATAAAAACAAGAAACAAAACTTTAAAACATTTTAATTCAATTTTTATAATATATTATTTACTTGATTATATTTTATCATTTAATTTATTATATATTATTTAAAAATAAATTCACTTTTTAGATGATGTTGGTGCCGCTGGTCGTGGTACTTTTTGCAGCGTTGGTATACGCCCAACCAGCTATAAATGAAATTCGGCCACAAAGCAACAGGCCAGGAAGATTCCTGTCTCTTCCCATACCTCAAAAATGTGCAAACCGTGAGTAAATTTTTAATTTTGAAATTTCTTAGTAAATATAACTCTATAATATTTATATTACTTAATATTTTTTATAAATGTTTTTTATAAATATATAAACTAGCATTCTTGAAGCTTAGTTTAACAAACCTAACCTGAAGTTTAAATTAAAATTCAAAGAATAAATTAATTAATGATAAATATTATTTATATAACTAAATAAGTTCCACATTATTTAAATTTTTTTAATATTTAATCATATTTTACTATTAAATAACATAATTTTTATAATGATTCAAATTAAACCTAGTCAAATTAACAAAATGCATATAAAAATTCAATAATATTAATATTTTTAATATTTTTATTAAAAATTATAATAAAGTTCTTTTTTATTTATAAAAAATTATTTCACGTTTTATGTATGTTGTAACTAAATCAAAAATAATGTCATAGACATAGAAAAATTAGAAAAATTCTGTAATCTGAGTTTTATATGAATATTTGACTTTATAATAAGGTTATAATATTACATTAATTTATTTGCTAAACGAATCTTGAATATAAAAAAACAAAAAAATTCTAAATTCCTATTATAAGTTAAGATTGTTTTTTCACGTACATTATATATATACATAATATAATAATATTGTAAAATTTGCATAATTTCGGTTCTCTCCAGTAGTATTTCCGTCAAAATTCAACATTTCTAACCACGATTACAAAACTGACACGATATCCGTGACGATGTTGGCGATAAACACAATTCGCTTCCGTGAATCCGGGGCATTTAGATGCCCCAGCACGTTTTCCAACTAAAAGAAATTGAGGTTAAAGCGACTCCATGTACAAAACTCTCGCGCAATCTTATGATCATAAACAAAACATTCACTTCTTGTGCAAACAAATGTGTACTAGATTATTTAGTCATTTTAATTATTATACTATTAGGTTTAATTATTATATTACTAATTATTTTTCTTTTTATTAAAAAATTATATTAATGTATATATATATTAGTCTTATTACATTTATTTATATGTATAATTAATTACAAAAATATCCAGTCATATTTAATAGATTTTATGCAAAGTTTTATATTAATAAAGAAAATAATATGTGTGTATATTTAAATGATAAATTCATTGCATAATACAATTTTAAGATTTGTCTGTTTTTTTAATAATCGTTCCATATATGAAGCAGATAAAAGTTTCACGTGATTTAAATGCAAATTCTGATATTTAACTGTTTCGTGAGAATGATTTTTTTTTTTCATTCGCATCAACTTTTCAATTATTAGTGATAAAATTAATTTTTTTTTAAATTACAATTAAGTATTATAAATCAGATCAATCTGATGATCATAATTTAAACTGATTATAGTTCAATTGCATTTATTCATTTGATATTATTTACAATCATTGTAAATTTTTAAATTCTTAATCATATGAAATTATTTAAAGTTTCCTCTCATTTAGAATTATTTGAAATCATTTGAATTCTAAGTCTAGTATAAGTGGATAAATCTACAGCTAGTTGGTAGCTTATTGTTAACAGATCATAGAATACGAGAATAATGTTTCGTTTCGACTCGTTTATGTTCGATGCACTTTCTCACGGTTAGATGCAAAATCAAGAAACCGGCAGATGTCTCGCAATCGCGCCGTGATAATTAGCGAGAGGACGTATAACAAAACGAAGTTAAAGGAGAGACACCGATTCGGGGTCAACGAGAGTCGACAGAATAGTTACGTAATTTTGAACAGGATGTTTCGTCGACTTTGTTTTGACCAGTTCTTCACAAATGTGATGATTTGTCCAATGTGAAATTATAAAAAACTTTATTATCAGTTGCCAATTTTTTTTATAATTATAATATTATTTTTTAGTATTATTTTTTTGTTAATTTTGTTTTAAGAAGCTTTTTGTGCAAAAACATTATGAGGATTGTGTTTTATTAAAAAAAATATTATATTTTATCAAATTATAGACATTATTATTTTTCTTATTTTTGATTATTTTAATTATGTTCCTTTTTTCTTTCTTCATTTTTTCAAAAAATTTCTTCAAAGATTTTTTGTATTTTTTTTTTTTGAAATTTGTAAGAATTAGTTTATAAAATCATTACTGATTGTGTCTTAAAAAGTTTGAACTGAATGATTTATTTTAAAAAATGTTGGATGATATTTATTACCATTGTTAATTTTTCTTTTTAATTTTGTATTATTTATGGTATTTTTTTTATTTATTCTAAATAATATTAGAATATATCGCAATAATCTAAGTTTTATTTATAAAATAATTTTATTTTATATATTCTTTTTATTTGTAAAAATATTTTTCAATTTTTATAAAATTTTTTTTAATATTTATAATATTTTACATCTTTTTTTAGCTATATTTATTTGGATTTTTATTTATTTTTATAAATATTGTAATTAATTCCAATATATATAATAATATAATAAATATAATAATTTCAATATAATAATCAATTACTTTTTATTTTTTAAATTATTCTATTATATAATATTATATAAGATTTAATCTTATAAATTTTCTTTAATTTTATTTTAATCTATTTTCAGCAATATGTGAAAATTTATTAAATTTTTTAAATAATCTTAATGTCTTTTTAAATAATCTTTATTTTGAATTTATTTCAATAAATTTTGAATATTTCAAAATAACTAACAGCAATGAAAATTACAATGCGATATTTTTTTAAATAATTTTTATTCTGAATCTATTTCAAAGATAATATAATTAATAAAAGTTACAGTACCATATATATTTTCTTTTTTATCCAAGAATCTATTTTGAGAAGACATAATTTATTTTCTCCGTGTTAATCTCTATTTCTCATTCGTGTTTATCTTAACTAGAAAACTACTAACTAGAAGGAAATATTTCACTACCAAAAAATTTATATAAAACTTAAAACCATTTATTGAAGTAAATATTCTATGCAATTAGTTATCGTTATTGCATATTCCAAAGTATTCAATAGAACAAATTATAAAAACATTGAATATAATCAAAAAAATATTTTGATTTTTAAGATTATATTTGATTTCAAGGCATAATTTTGCTTAGCTGACATAAACTGAAATGGCATTTGTTGTGATGTGTTAACGTATGTTTCCTATTTTTCTTTGACATTTATCTCAAGCAATAAGTTTTTTACTGAAACGTGAAGAAATATGCAGAAACAATTATTAATACCTTTCTCAAGAAACATAGCATAGACAGATAGTTATTTATTATTACTTCACTAAAACTTAATATTTGGAATCAAAAATGATCTATACTAAATCTAAACTTATTTAATTTTCATTATCTAAATATCGCCGATTGGGTAAAAAATGACAATTGTTTTTCATTTATTTATTCATTTGTATAATTAATAAGAAATATTATTCATCATCATTATTTAATGATGCAATTGTATAAGTTTTTCTATACAAGATATTACAGTTCGGATATTTTATCAATATATTTGATGAATAATTTAATCTCTTGAGTTTATATGAATAATTTTATTATTTTTATTTAAAAAAAACAATTTTAACCAATTTTTACTTTTTTCTCTTATTTATATTTTCAAAAAAGTAGATATTAAATATATATTCAAAATATAAATATTAAAGATTATCATAATGAAAGATATTAGAAATTTCGAAGTTCATAATCTCATTTTCATATTTAGTCACGTTTTTATTAATGTCGCAAGAATATAATGATATTCGGATATGATCTGACATCCTAATGATTGCACGTTTAGAATGTTCGATCATCTCACAATGACATTCACTTGCCAAGTTAATAACAATAAGAAATTCTAGTCACGTGGTGAATCGATGAAATCATTCTAAATAAAATCCTTTCTTTAGAAGAAGAATCGTTTTTTTATTCGATTACTTTTTATAAGGATTTCTAAAATTAGAAATATGATTTGAATTAAGTAATGAAAAATATTTTGCTTGATATATTATGTATCATTAATAATATTCAATATTTCAATATTTTATCATTGTAAATATTTAATATCATTTTTTTTAAACAGAATATTTAATTTTTTAAACATGCATTTTTATATGTTTCAATATTTTTAATATTTATGTTTAAAATATTTATTTTTGATTATGTTGTTATATGTGTTTGCAATATTCACGTATATATTATATATATTTAAAATATTTAGTATAACTGAATGAAATCTGACTTTTCATAATATTTTCGTTAATATTTTATGACAATATAGATATTTATTGAGATATATAGACATTATTATTAGTGTAATATATCTTTGAACTATGAATTTCACGAGCATTGACAATAATAATAATTTCTGAAATTTTCATTCAAGTTATATTAATACTATTAATCCTTTATATTAAATTTTTTCCCCGTTAAATCTACAGTAAAATATTAAAATGAATTTATAATAATAAATTACAATTAAAAATGAAGATAATATATATATATATTTTTATAGATATAATGCGATATATTTTTCATAAGTTATATTTTGTTATAAGATATTTAAATTGATAATTTTTAAATTGATAGAAATCAGTAACAAAAATAAATAATTAATGTATTTGCTATGTCTACATAAATTAATTAAACATTCATTAAACATTATTATCATGCTTATCATCTAATATGCATATTATTAATTATCTCTTTGATTTTTTCAGAGTTTTTTTTATTACTTAAATTATCCAGCTATCCTTGTCACTGATTAGTAACGCGTCTGAATTTAATTTATGCAAACTTCCATCTAATATTAATATTATAATTATATATATGTATTTGAAGGAAGTTTTTTGTTAAATATGATTATAATCCTTTGTTGTCATCTGAAACATCGAGTAATGAATATTTCATCAAATTGAATTTTTAATAATGCTTTTTATTCATCGAAATTGATAGTCAAGATAAATTGTTATTTTTTGAAGAGTTAGTCAAGATAAATTGTTATTTTGAAGATATCCAAATCAATATAAGCTAAA